CACACACACACACACACACACACACATCCACATAAACAAATATACACATATATATATACCTATACAGATATTTACATTACACACACACACACACACACACACACACACACACACACACACACACGACCTAATTTACCGTGTCAGCTAATGGGTTTCAACTTTGTAGGCCTGAATTAAAAAACAAAACAAAACCCAACAACTTACAAAACATTTATATTTATTTTTAAATTCCAGCGTGACCAAAAGGTTTAAAAAGAGAACATGCCTCTCACAGCTGTCTAGGTGGTTCCTGTCAGTTGAAGAACAATCACAGGGCTATCGCAGTACGTGCCATTCCATGCAGGACTTGTAGGACAAATCTAGCAGTATGAGAAAGACGAAAAGGGGCTGGGGAGATGGTCAGCAGTAAGAGCACTTGCTGCTCTTGCCGAGAACCCAGGCTCGGTTCCCAGCACCCACATGGTAGTGAACCAGCGGCTTACTCCAGTTCCAAAGGCTCCCATGCCTTTCTCTGACCTCTGGAGGCACCAAACACACGCATGATGCAATTATGTGTAGGCCAAACATACGTATAAAATAGAAGGAATAGGCCTAATTCTACAAATTCAAAAAGAAAGCTGGAAAGACACAAAGAAAAGGTGGTTTTCCTTCTCTCCCTCACCTTCACATGATCATATAGATGCACTTCCTCAGCTACCTACGCTCGGGAGTGCTGCAACTCGCTCCTCAGCCCCTAGTTCCTAATGGATCCCTTAAGAATGTCATCATGAACTGGCCACTGGGCTTCACGACTGGGATCCAGGTATGGTGGACAGCGAGCCTCTTGGATTTTGGCCCTCAGAGCGGAGAAATGTGAGGCTGTCAGACGGTCCCTGCATGTTAGAGGCTGCTGCTATGCTCTGTTGGCTTTTTCTCACCTTACCCATGCAGCTGCTCTGAAGATGCAAAGCTCCTCTGGTTCACATAGAATGCTGGGTTGTGCTGGCTTCTTCCATTGACAGGAGGACATGTGTGACCAAGATGGAGGCCTGGCCTCAAGCTAAAGGAGCCAGAGAGGCACAATGAGCCAAAGCAGGCCCATTGCCTGCTTTCAAGGTTGTCTGAGCATTTTTTTTCTGGTGAAGCAAGGACAATAAATCCATTCCTTTCCGGGTGATCGTTAATAACTGATTGCCGGTCCACAGGTGGTTCCCAAGCCAGCAAGTCCAAAGGGTGTGTGTACCCATGCAAATGCAACAGAAAAGTTCCCTTTTCTGTTGCTATGATAAAAAAAATACCTTGGCAAAAGCAGCTAAAAGGAGAAAGGTTTACTTGGCTCATAATTCCAAACTACAGCCCTGTCATTTCAGGGAGTCAAGGTGTAGGAACTTGAAGCAGCCAGTCACATTACATTCACAGTTCCAGAGCAGAGGGCAGGAAATGCACGCATGCGCATGAGCACACAGCTTGCCTTTTCCTTTTCATTCAGTCCTACACCCAGGCCATGAAACGGCAACACTCATATTCAGGGTTCAACTTCCTACCACAGTCAACTCAGTTAAAAACAAAACAAAACAAAAAAAAACCCCAAAAACCTACGGGCCAACCTACTCTAGACAGTTCTTCATGAAGATTTCCCTTCCCAGGTGATTCCACACTGGGTCAAATTAAGCAGAACCAGCCATCGCACCATCCTTGGCTCCAGTCCCCACTCCGGAGCAAACAGACGCTTTTCCCTGAGACGAGACACACAGAAAGATTGCCTTCCTTTCCTGAGCTGAGAGTGAAGGAGTGTGCTGTGACCTCACAGCTTGCAGTGACCTTTTATAGGCCAAGGACATACACCTGCCTCTCCCAGTTTTGAAGCCAGACCCTTTGGAAGAGCAGCCAGTGCTCTGAACTGCTACTGGGCCATTTCTCCAGCACCTCCATTCTCATTTTTAGAAAGCTCTTTTATTACTTAAAGCTTTGATATCCTAGTATCTCTTGCTCATTCCCCTTTTCCAGGAAGAGACAATCTTTGCCCTACAGTGTTATCTGCCTACATGTGAATGGACCTTTTATTTGGATTGTATCTATTTTTGTGATTATGTTGATACCATGTGTCATGGTATTAATGTTCCCTTGAAAAAATAAATAAATAAATAAATAGATGTTTGTGTTTAGAGAATGGTAAGTTATGGTAACTTATCAAAGTTGTTTGATAAGTTATCAAAGAATGGTAAGTTATCAAAGAATGAATTAAGTTATTAAATACTAGAGTGTACATGAAGTTGTCATAACAGTGCACCATGACCATAAACTAACTCACCCTTTGTCTTCCCTTTCTTGTGTTGTCTCCGTGTTGTAGAGAACTCGGGTTTTTAGATCAGCTAAGGATCACGCACAACTCGGACATATTCATCGGCATGCACGGAGCTGGCCTCACTCATTTACTCTTCCTTCCAGACTGGGCTGCTGTATTCGAGCTGTGAGTATGCGTGGCGACTTTTCACAGAGAGCTCCCGAGCCAGGGTCTGAGCTAAGAATTAGAGGGCCTAATATACTACCGTCACGCTACATCATGGAGATATCTGAAAAGAAAAGCCAGGTCAAGCTAAAAGGTCTGAGTTCTGCTAGTGCTCTTAGAAAGCAGGGACTCCCTCCCTCCTCACAGCCGCGCCGTTCTCAGGATGTGAATCTGTGGTTTCCCTGCTCAGAGTTCACTACTGTTTGCCTCTCAACTCTGAGCACTCCCTCCCTGTGATCTGTGTAATTACGGTGCTAAAAGAGAGCAGGGTGGTGTCAGCAGGCATAGCGGAGACACTATCTCCAAAGGAGTGCTTACCCAGCATGTGTGAGGCAGAGACAGAGAAAAGGCCGAATCCATAAGGAGACCACCGAAGGAGAGGTGGTTACAAACCTCTTGGCCCAACCTTTTCAAGCTGTTACTGAGGCAGAATTGTGAATTCTGTCCTAATTCATTTGTCCTAGAGGAAGGGGGGGGGATGAAGAAGGGAGTAAGGGAGGGCAATGTAGGTGAGAGAGCAGAGCCCATCAGACCTGAGATGGGAGTTTTGCTTCCTTCATTAACCAGCTGCTTAACTTGGAATGTGCTACCTCCCTAACTCCATTTTCCATGTATGTAAAGATAATATCTTACCAGATAATCTCTAATTCATAGGCACCCACTCCTCAGTCTTACCCTGTTCTTTAAAAATTAAGGCAAGAATCTGAGAATATTAATTTAAAATGGCTTTTGCAGCGCTCTCCTAGCCAGGGCCTTGTGCATGCTAAGTCAGTACCACCACAAAGCTACGTCCCACAGCCCTGAGAATGTTTGTGAAATTATCTCTCTCTTGTTTCTTATTGACAGAGCCTCTAGTAAGACCCTATCTCAGAGACAGATTTTTTTCCCCCCTAGAAAGTGACACACTGGGCAACCCCCTGGACAAAAGCCTCATGTCGTGACGCCCTTGTGTCCTTAGGTACAACTGTGAAGATGAGCGTTGTTACTTAGACCTGGCCAGGCTCAGAGGTGTCTACTATGTCACCTGGCGGAAGCCCAGCAAGGTGTTTCCTCAAGATAAGGTAGGATTCAGCCAAACGGTTTGGAGTCCAGTTACTGAAATGCAAGCCACAGCTGAGCCTCAAAGAGGCACTGTTCTTCTCTCGAATGCTGAGGTGCATTTTATATTTGCAAATTGGAGAAAGCCTCAGCAATTGTTAAGGCAGTTTACATCAGATTATGTAAAGCAGCCGTCAGCACACCATAGCGCTGACGGTACAAATCTGGCCCGCCGATTGTTGTTGTAAATAAAGCTTTATTGGGAGCAGCCACACTTGTCTGCATATTATCTGGGCTTGCTTGTGCGTTTCCTTGGCAAGAGTATCTGTGACTGAGAACAGATGGTTGGCAGAGTTGAAATTATTATTGGGACCTCAGTGGAAAAAGCTTGCCAGCCTCTTTTGTGCAGCATAAGTTAAAATAGTTGCCTTAGCCAAAGTAAAGTGATTTTTCATTTCTGTAGAAAAGACACACCCTCAGTGACTTAGGGATTTTTTTTTTCCTGGTTTGTTTCCGCAGGGGCACCATCCAACTCTGGGGGAACACCCGAAGTTTACCAACTACTCTTTTGATGTGGAAGAATTCATGTACCTTGTCCTTCAGGCTGCAGAGCACGTGCTGCGGCACCCGCAGTGGCCGTTTAAGAACAAACACGATGAGCTGTAGAAATGTCGAAGCCGTTTACAAGAGGGTGTTTTGAACACTCTCGCATCTAGACTCCTAACTAAAGGAGCAAAACAACCTGTCGTACCCTACTGTAAGACGGAATGTGACTTTTTACTTTTGAATATAGCTCAGGCTGGCCTTGAACTAATGGTCCTCTTGCCTCTGCCTCCCGAGAGCTCAGATCACAGGCGTGCGCCACCACGCCTATCTACAAAATTACTTTTTCTATGTGAAAACATGCCTTCGGGATATTCTGTCTCTTACGTCTTCCACGTGTTTATTGTGTCATTGCTATTTGTCAATAGCAACAGTATTTTTTTGCACTGAGGAAAGGTTGCTACTTTTATAGTTCAAAGATGGGCAGGTGCCCAGTGGTGTAGCAGGGCTTTCCTGTTGGGATACCAAAGTTGTCAACTTCAGTGGCTTTCGAGCTTATAAGTGCATTTGTTAACTCTAATGTGTCCCACCCTGTTGTTTATATACTTGGATAAACTCAGAACTGGTTTTGAAGTTGCCATTGTATGGATGTAGGGCTTGGAGACATGGCTCAGTTTAGACTACTGGCCTTTTCGTGTATGGTGCTCTGGATTCAGTCTCTAGCAACACGCACACACATACACACACAGCAGCACAAGACTGCCATTCTCAGGACCAAGCTATAGGAGTGTGTTATAGGCCAGTGTTTAATCCGCTCCAGGTTATCTGCATGAAGGGCCTGAAAAAAACATGCCGCTGTGTCAATCTGTGTTCACCCTTCAATCATGTCCTCCCCAAATGTAATGGCAGTAATTGATAAGAACCCGTCAGAACACTCCACAGTACTGCCTCCCCCGACTTCTCAGCCATGGAGAACATTCATGTTGAAATGGCATGAAGTCGTGGTTTGCATCAGGCAAGTATTTGTGAGCACATACAGCTGTGTGCATCCACCCCTGGCAGGGGAAAATTAACCCTCGTTTTTGTAAAAACTAAGAGTAGCCACATGAAGAAACATGTTCTTTTTCTCTCCTTTTTAAGTAAGACCATTAAAAACACAGTAGACCTGTGAATTACCCAACCGAAATGAAAAGCCCGGGAAAGTGGCCTTCTCCTGCCAGGGCCCTGCTTCTCGGCAGTCAGAAACTATGGGTTTGGTTTACTGTAGAGTGTGACGTTTGCATTGAGAGTAGTGACCCGCTAAGACAACGCTTCTGTTTGCTTGTTAAAATTGTTTGCAAAGAACTGTAACCTTGGGAATTGTTAACTGACGGGGATGCTGCTTTTCTTTGTGCAGGGGTGACAGGGGGCAGGGGAGTTGGGGGTGCTGCGAGGGAAAGGATTTGGAAGGAGCATGTCATCGGTGAGCCTGGTCATCGAGGATAAACATCGGAAAGAGAGTGCCTCTGGAGAACGGATTGAGTTATCAGCCTCTTACCTCATTCCAAGCAAATGAGGTCCAAGCAAATGCCCCATGCTTCCACAGACTACCAAGGGTTCCAGAAACTGAGGACAATTTCATACTAAAACTATATTTGAGTAATTTGCACTTTATATATGCTTTATATGAAGAAGAAAGCCGTTTAAAATTCTAATTATTGGGATTAACTTTTATCAGACCTTTTGTGGGAGCAGATCTTCAAATTATTGTGAAAGTTAAGATGTAGACATGGCCCTTTTTATTAACTCTATGAGGACATGCATTTCACTATACACTTCGGGAATGACTTTGGAATAAAGCTTTCTATATTTCTTTTAAATATCCAAACATCTTCAGGGGTTTCTGTGTCTGAATGTCACATTCTTGCTTTAAAAAAAAATCTGGTAGCTTGCACGTGATTAAAAAATTAATTATCTCACTGATGAAAGATTCAGTGTAATCAGAAATTATGCCTTACATTTATTTAGCAGTTGTTTTATCTGGTGCTTCCAGAAATGCGGCCCTGCATAAACCTCACCAAAATGATAGAAGGATGTTGGCTTCTGCTTTCAAGTCAGGGCCTGGAGAGGTGCCTCAGTGGTTAAAAGCACAGGATGCTTTTTCCAGAGGTCCAGGGCTCATTTCCCAGCACTCACAGGGCAGCTCACAACTATAACTCCAGTTCCAGGGGATCCAATCCCCTTACACAGACATACATGCAAGCGAAACACTGATGCACATAAAACAAAAATAAATCACCAGCTGGGTGTGGTGGCAGTGGCGGTGGCACACGGCTTTAGTCTCAGTACTCAGGAGGTGGAGGCAGGCAGATCTCTGCGTTGGGGCTAGCATGGTCTATAGAATGAGCTCAGGACAGCCAAGGCTTCACAGGGAAATGCTATCTTGAAAAACAAAAGGCAAAACCAAACAAACAAAATTAAAAAGGAAAGCAACTTAGATGCTATTTAGTGACGTCCCTACAGGTTCCAGGCTTTGTCATTCCGCACTGCTTCTTTCAATTGCTCATTCGCAGTCAACACTGAGCCAGGTCCTGCTATGTACCAGATACTCTGACAGCCTCTGGGAAGACAGCTTAAGTTCTGGTAGAGAACATGGGCATTTCTACCTTGATGTAAAAAAAACACAGTGTTCCAGACCCTGGTACCGCTGTTGGAGAAAGCCAAAGTAAGAAAGGGGTGTGGAGTATGGACTTAAGTGGAGGCTTGCATGGTTAAGAGTTCTCATTGAGGGGGTGACAGTCGAGCCCAGAAGACTAGAAGGAGGTGAGCCATGGAGGCTGGTAGATGATCTGACAAAGAGCACACTAAAAACACAGAACAGCTAAAGTCCCGTGGCAGAAGCCTATGTGTTGAGTTTGAGGAGCATTCAGTGTAGCTAGTGTGCCAGAGTAGACTCGGAAGATACTTACAGGATAAAGTCACGTGTAGATGGCAAGGCTCTTGTCTTTTCTTTCTGATGAGGCTCGAATCACCGAATGGATCTCTACAAAGGAGCAGAGTCCTGGCTCTCCCTTGGACAAGGGTGACTGTTGCTGTTAACCTGACAGCAGGTGGCAGTCGGATGTCGCAGGCCACATTCTCTGGATAACAGACTGTGGGGTGAAGGGTGGCAAGCTGAAGGTTTATTATCGGAGGGAGGATTCTCTTGATCAGTACAGGTGAGGAAGCATGGGATCCATAAAAGGCTAGGGGCTGGGCCGGAGAAGACATCACCTGGCGTTAAGTAGAAGGAGGTTCTTAGGGGCTTTGTGGTACATAGGATCTTTCAGAGAAGTTCCAACGGAGACAGGAGGTGCCACCATCCTTATTGGGGCCATAGAGGTGGAGAACAGGGGAACCTTGACAACGGCAGTTCTCTCCAGCTGGGGGGCAGTTATCAGGAGAACACACTGCCGGGATCCATCAGCATCCCTACAGCTCAGAGGCTGAGAGTCTGTGTGCAGAGACTATAAGGCACACCACACAGCTTCCACTGCCATGGAGGGCGGTGTGTGGGCTGGTTCCACTCTCCCTCCAGCTTCCTGCCAGCTAGAAGTTTGATTACATACAGATTTCATTTTTACTAGTTTTTAAAAATGTACATAAATAACACCATGAACTTCAATCTGTAGATTGTTAAGGGGAGGAACAGTTCTTATTTTAGGGGGTAATTCTTATTTGAAGTGGGAGGGCATGCTTGTGTTCTGTTGAGTATTATTAGTTAATTCCCCATTCCTACAAACTCCCAAAAGCCATAAAGATCATTCTGTAAGTTTAAACAGAGAGTAGAGAGGGTAAGAAATGTCCCCAAAGCCACTCAGCCGGCATCAGAGAGCTGGATGAAGGGATTTAGCTAGGGATGCTTATGGGGAAAGTTAGTGGAGAACACAGAGCATGGGGGAAAAAAAGCCCTACGGTTTTGTACAATTACCAAGTAGTTTTCTTTGAAGCGTAGACAATACAGAGAACATAGGGAGATGTCTTTCACCTGGAAGCCTGTCAGTCAACTCAGGTGTGATTGCTGCATTAGCTGCTCTTCTCATTACTGTGTCAAAATACCCTAGAGAGAAAGGCAACTTAAGGAACGAAAGAAGCAAAGGTTTATTTTGGCCCAGAGTTCAAGGACAGAGTCCACCGTAGCTGGGAGTCAGGGTAGCAAGAGCCATGGCAGCTGTTACAGCGTGTCACCAGTCTGGAAGCAGAGACTGATGAGGACAGACACTTGGCTTGCTTCCTCCTCAGTCCAGGGCCCCAGTTCATGGGATCATGCCACCCAGGATCCATCATCATAGACCACAGACCAATATCATAGACACAACCATAGGTGTGTTTCCATGGTTATTCTAAATCCAGACATGGTAATGACTGTGAACCATCACGCTTGCCCTGGAGTGGAGCCAATCATTTATAATAGCCTCCCAGGTGCTAGGGACATACTTCAGTTGGTAAAGGGTTTGTCTCGGCTGTGGTGACATGCACCTATAATTCCAGTGTTCAGAAGATGTAGGCAAGAGGCTCAGCAGTTTGCAGTCAGCTCCAGCTGAGTTACATGAGACCCTGTCTCAAAAACCACCGCTAACAATAAAGCATGCCAACCTCCCTCAGGCATGGGACGTTGTCAGAACACTTGAAGGCCACATTCCTCTCTAGGTGCGTCGGAGGATGCCGTCACTGTTCTTAGTCCAAAAAGCAGCTGAATTGAACATTGGCTCAGTTTGTTCTTAGTCACCGTGGGCAGGTGTGCCTAATGGCCACGAGGTGGCAGCCAAGCCCTTTCAAATGGCCTTGGGGGCCTGTAAAGGCTGTGAGGCTCTCAATCTAGGATTCCGAGTCTAGAGAGTTTTGTTCCTAAAGTGAGAGAATGCGCTCACTATCGCTGGAAACAGCTTTCAGGATGACTGCGGGTGTACGGGGGATGGAGGGGAAGGGGTGCCTCTGTGGCTGCCAGCAGCTGCATACTGAGCAATATCTCCTCATCTCCTGAAGGGGCAAATGCTTGGTGGCCCTGAAGATAATTCTAGTGACAGAAGCTGTTGGGGAGAGGATCTCGGAGAGTCTGGGAGTTTGGCTGAGCTTGGAGCTCTGCGGAAAGCCTGTATGCAGCATGTTAACTCTTCAGTCCCACTTAGAAGCTAATTTCTTTCTTATGTTGGTCTTAAAGGTCAACACGGGCCTCGCTGCTATTTTGTTTTGTTTGAGCAGAACTCTAAGTGGCCGAGTTAACTGATGTCAAGAAAGCTAAGAACTACAGACTACAGACCAGAGTTAAGGAACTCTGGTTAGTGCTGGCACACTAAGGTTGAGTCCACATGGGTATGACCTGGTGCAGTTCTCTTCAAGTGTGTGTTAGTTATTTGGCTCATTGCTGTGACAAGATACCCGGCAACAGCAAATTGAAGGAAGGAATGAAGGGAGGGAGGGAGAAAGGAAGGAGGGAAGGAAAGAAGGAAGGAAAGAAGGAAGAAAGGAAGGAAGGAAGGAAGGAAAGAAGGGAGAAAGGAAGGAAGGAAAGAAGGAAGGGTCTATTTTGGATGACTGATGACATGCTTCACCACTGCATGGAAGGCAGGAGCATAAAGTGGCTGTTTGTCCTGTTGTGTCCCTTGTTGGGAAGGAGAGGTACGCAATTGCTCAATCCTTTTTATACGGTTTGTGACTCCACCCACATTCACTTCACCCACATCTCAGTCAAGCCTTTCTGGAAATGCCCCTGTAAACATACTCACACCATGTGTTTCTGTGGTGGTCCTAACCCCCATCAAGCTGACAGGAAATGGTGGCCATTACAGAGAGTTTGCTTCATTTAATCTTCACAACTCATGACTCAGATTGGGGGACCGAAAGACATGGTAGTGGTCTTTCATGGCACTGTGGGTTTTTTGTTTTTCATTCTGTAATGGTTTTGTTTACTAGCTGATTTCAAGACACACCTCAGGAACATTTATCACCAAACATGGATACAGATAGTCAGAAGGTCTCAAGCTTCTTAGAAGACTTGAGATACTTTGTGACTATGGCTGTCCAACCATATAAAGCTTTCAGTTAAAAACCAACATATTTCTAATCATGAGTGTTCTGGTTTGATTTTTCTTGCTGTGGTTAAAAACAAAAACAAATTATGACCAAAAGCAACTTGGAGAAGGTAGGGTTATTTGGCTTATACTTCTGGATCACAGTCCATCATGGAGATTAGTTGGGGCAGAAACTTCTGACAGAAACTCAGAGACAAGAACCATGGAGGAGACAAGGAGCTCATTCTCTGACTCACACGCAACCAGCTTTCCTATGCAGCCCAGGCTTTCAGGCCAATCCAATCTTGGCAAACCCTTCATTTGAGACTCCTTCAGATGACCCTAGATCACATTCGTTGACAGCCCAGTCTCACTAGGACAATGTGCGCGTGAATGGTGGGAGGTGGTGCGTGTGAGTGCGGTGTCTGTGGAGGCCACAAGAGGGCAGCAGATGTTATGGAGCTGGAGTGACTGTCAGCTGTAGGATGTGGGTGGGTGTGGGAACCCAGGATCTTCCCTAAGAGCAGCAGTGTATGTTCTTAACTGCTGAACCATCTTGCTACCCGTGGAGCTTTGCTTTTCTTGCTTGTAAACTAGTGATGATATATATTAGGCAGGATGGACTTAAAGGAATAAATCCATGCTTGTTGGTTGCCGCTTTCACAGCATTGTTTAGAAAATGCTATTATGATCCCGGGTGTGGATTTATGGTTATTTAGAGGCACCTGCACACCATTTTAGTTTGCTCTTAGGACCTCTTCCCAGGCCTAGTCAAGCAAAAATTTCTAGGGCACAGTCTAGCTGTGTAGTTTGTTAAACGTCTCTGGGTTTTTCTTTTTTAGAGTGGCATGGGGCTGCTGGCTTAGGAGATAATTGACAAGCCCCTGACAACAGTTTGTGAGGGAGGTCAGGTCAAACGTAAGTAGAAAGATGTACTAGACACCGCCCTCACGTTAT